AGTATGGGGCGCGCAATTGCACAGGAGAACAATGTGGGTTACGGTGGAACCAATGCAAATACTGAAGAAGCGTTTTACTCTACACATAGTCCTATGCTCCACCCTGCGGCTTATATGACCCTCTGCCATGCTCCACCTTCTATAGCGATGTGGCTCCGTCCATTTCCCATTTTCCCTTCGTAGTCTTCGTTGTGAGTGCGCGGAGAAAACGACAAGAGGACACCAACCGCGCATACACCGCGAAAGTGGTTACGGTGGAAACAAATCAACGTTCGAAAAAATCGTTTTGCTCGTGCCGTCTTGTCGCTTCCTCTACGCACTCGATGACGAGAAAATGCCAACTGTAAGGAGCATCTTCACTGTAGAAGGTGGATTGTGGCATCAATTGGGCAGTAGCGCGCTCCCGTCTTCCGAGTTCCGATTCAGCCGGAAGATTAGAGCGTGATGCCAAGCACTGAGGCGCGCAGTGAACTGAAACACTGGTACACACGTCCTTCAAGGGAACACTCAACCAATTGCAGCCCACCACACAATCTGCGGCTACCCTGGGGCAGCGCTCCTCAGCGTCCGGCTAAGTCGACACTATGCGCGCCTCACAGGGAGGAGAGTAGTACTATTTTTCATTTCTGGTCACTATAATTGGGACGTTCCCAAATAAATGCTTATAATGCACCAAAAAATCATAATTTGCTTCCAGGATGGTCTAGAGATCGGGGAATAGTAGTACAAGTAAAAGTTCGTCGTAGTTTGACTGGTAGGGGCATCAAGGATAGTAGAGAGGCGGGGCACCCATGGTGGGCGGGGTGTCGCCTAGACGGGCGGAGCTTGCGCCGAAAGCCCGTAATAGCTGAATTTTCGTGGATAATACCAAAAAACCACCCACCAGTTTCGTTATCCTTCGTATCAGTGTGACGTTTAAAATCGTTAATCCACATCATACCCGAATTGTTCACAGTACCCGGAATTGACTCGATTTCAGAGATCATTTGCTGAAAAATTACTCGGAACGATGAAAAAAAATTTTTCAGAGATACCCTAAAAAATTCACTAACTTTAAATCGTTTGTACGATGATGGATCATCGAAAGAGGGTGGTCGTTCAATAAAGAATAACACGTTGAAGAACTCTGGCCAAACCTAAAATCATCGCGGTAAAAATTTAGCGAAGCAAAGCGATCAATAACTCAATAAACCTACAACATCACTCATAAAATGAACGCCTTTCCCGCTGGGTGAATCGGCTGGAAGTAGCTCACGATAGTCGATATTTGATTGCACCTAAAAGGCTCATACAGCCTGAATATTGATTGCACGCGCACAATAGACCGCGACAAATCAATACTGCATCAATATTCAGAGGAAGTTTGACTGACCTTAGTGGATCCAATATATGTGGGTAGAGCGAGACATAAGCAAAATAACGATACACCAAAGACTTTTAACCAAGCAGAAGATGAAAGGTAATTGGCATACCGGCCTGAATGGAGCGATATAGCGAATAATTAAGAGTAGGCATTGCTGATATTTGAACATTCCACCCCACATGAGGTCGAGAGGATCTATTATGTGTGAAGGACAGAGAAGTTTCGCGAGTATCACAGTTTTCTTTTGTCGTTTCGCGCTCAAAAGGCGCAGGGTCGCTTAAGTTAATAGTGACGGGCCTTAAATGTGAGCAGATAGTGGCATACTCTCGAGTGACCACCTGACAACCCAAGCGGGTCACGATGCAGGTGGCTACTTCTAAATACGAGTGGGGAAGTGGCGCATGGGGAGGCGACAAGCAACAGTCAGGCAACTCTCGGCCACGACCCTTTTCCCACGAGTTATGAGGAGATGCGATCTATGAACACCACTGAAGCAGTGGACAATATGCTGTTCCGGAGCGCGGCCCATAAAATGGTACGTTTTACACCGTTGGTGCATCAGCTCGATAAATGCGATTGGCGAGGAACGAGATTAACCTTTCAGACCAGCTCACTTTTTTCGGTATTCTAAGAAAGAATTCTGGGGAGGTGCTTATGGGAGCAAGGACCGGGAGCATTTCGGGAACTAGCGTCTTGAAATTCTATGGTACAAATTCTGCTCAAAAGAGGGCTTCAGGAAGTTATTTTCTCGTGCCCTTAGTCTCGGAAAACTCGACACAACTCCTCGTGAACCGGAATTCGGAACACAAAATTTACATTACGTTCAAAACAGCTACGGGTCAAATAACGGGCATTCCCAAAGAAAGTCTCCATTACCATACCTGAAAGCTTATCGAACCATGGCCGCCGAGATGCCTTCGAAGACCTGGACGCTTCTTGACTCAATGGACGGTGTGTTTCTATCGGTGAACACCAAGCGATCACCGTCGAAAGGAAGCATATCTGGAGCCATAGATCATTCAGAGGCTCACCAAATCTAGTACTGTGAATGGAACGTACTTGATAAGCGTATACGAAAAGTACGGTAACACCTAGATAGACAGATAATCCAGCAAATTCTTCAATAGGGAAGAGACCACCAGCGAAGAAGCCCGATAGCGGTTGCCGAGACGATTGCCAGCGATGGAAGGGTTGAAGCGAACACCTTAAAATTAAAATAGTGATTGTAAGAAGAAATTGTGAAGAAAAAGAGCATAATGTGAAGCATGGCTTTTTTGGTGCGTCCTGAGAGCTACAGTACTCCGACGGATTTTTATTTGTTTTATTAACTAAAATAGACCTTAGTATACTTAGCGCCATTAGCGTATTGCACCAGCATCACACAAATGATCTCTCTGCACTCTAGTGGGGAGGCTTTAGATTTGATTTTGGCAACGTTAAGCTGCAACGCGCCACGCGTGGAGCAAGAAAACCGATATTGATGCATGTCGTTTTGTGGGCCGCGAACATACAAACTCCTTCCCTTCGGCGCTGCTCATTATGTTAGACATTTACACTCGCATTCAAAAAGTTGTAACTTCTCAAAATAGGTGACCAGAAAGCGGACTGTGCCACTGTAGTTGAGGGTGAGGAGATAGTCGCCGCCGCATCGCGCGGTGGTGCCCTTAGAGCAAAATGAGGGGTCAGTGAACCAAAAGGAACTTAAGCAGTTTGGAAGGGGGGAGTAGTGATGAGGAGACAGTCGCTGCTCCTCAGGTTGTGCG